AGAAAAGAAACGGCGGCTGCTTCGCCACAAACCGCACCAAGGCAAAGCGAATTATGCACCAGGCGGGCCATGGCTTCGTGGTCCTCTTGTTCTTCCGCCCCCTTCTGCCAGGCAATGAAACGCTGACTCGGCCCTGAAGGCCCCACCCCCACAAGAGCAAAAGGACCCACAAAAACAGCGGGGGGCTGCGGCGGCGCTTTTGTTTTTTTGGCATCGCCGGCCTTTTTCATTATTTCCGCGTTTTTTTCCCCCGTGCAATTTTATGCTGGCTTCTTCGCCGCTGCCCGAAGGGGTGGGGGGAAGGCATTTGAGCACATCTGCCGCGTTAGGGCGGATTATGTGGGACTCGGCGGCGGAGCAGCCCACCCATACCCATCGAACCCCCCTGATCATGGAGATCGTTCAACCCACGGGCGCGGGCTACACCAGCAGCACGGTGTCCCANCAGCCCACCCATACCCATCGAACCCCCCTGATCATGGAGATCGTTCAACCCACGGGCGCGGGCTACACCAGCAGCACGGTGTCCCAAGGAGCGGTCTCTGGTTAGGCCCTCCGCTTGAACCCTGGAAGGCCAGGTCGCGTTTTATCCGGAACATGACGCAGTTCCCGGGAGAGCTATAGCGTATGGCATTGGATTCCCCGTCCGGGAAACCGGGTACTCGACCGTGAAACTTATTGATTGGCAGCGTGTATTTTCCACTACAGTCTCTCCGTTAAGGCACTTTGTCCATTACAAAACGCGCCTTATTTGTAAGGTGCTTAACCGCGCCACCCCAATAAGCAGCGACCGCGTGACGGCACAGCCCAAACTAAGCCGGATTCGGTGCTGCGATTGTGGAAATTTAGCTTCTCAAGTAACGAACTTATTGCTAGACCTTGGCGCCGCGATGGGGCATTTCCACGATACCGAGGGGTTGGCATGCTCCGTTGTGGAACCCGCTGTGGCGCCATAAAGCTGGGTTTGGGGGCGGGTGGAGTGGGGCCCCCCCTGATACTCCCCATTCTTTGGAAAGGAGGTTAGGGGGCCTTTTCGCTATGTGCTCCCGGGGTTCTTTCCCCCTTTTGGCGCTGTATTGGTGGAACGGGCATACGGCCTTCAGGCCCCCCGGTGGTGCCGCCATGGCTTCGAGAATCCCCCGCTGTGGCCTCGAAGGGCTCGCATCATGATGGGTATGAATATAGCCTTTGGTGGGCCATCGCTGAGTATAAATTATGCGGAATATGTGGTAGAATAATGGTTTTTCCGCTGGGGCAGCAAGCTGGAGTACGTCGTATATTGTGGATTGGCTCCCGTTTACAAGTTGGTATAGAGAAGGGTTTCTTGTTTCCTCGGAAGGGGAATTATGTTGTCTGCACCGGCGAAATGATGGGCCTGTGCCTTTTGCGGCGGCCCTATGGAACCATCCAAACATCGAAAGGGGCCCGTGCGGAATTGGACGCGAATGTCTTTGGCGACCCTGGGCATCGTAACTTTCAGCGGTTTTTTAGGTCTGCCAAGATGCCTTTTTATCTGTTCACGTTGTGGTGTACCGATTTCCTCGCTCTGTCTTTAAATTCGGAAGCGGCAGACCGTTTTTAGGATATCCGCAATTCACGCCAGGGCGTTTTCTGCGCTGTTCAAGGGCCTCTTGATGTATTGGTCGGCGCCTTCATTTTAATGAATTTCTGCATGATCAAACGGAAAACAAAAAATAAATGCGTACACCACGCGAGTGTAGGGGGACGATCTGCCTCCGTAGTCGGCGGGGGTGCCGTGCTTCACCTGGGTTTGCCGCGTTTCAAGGGCAGCCGGCAGAGGCAGGGAGCCTGTAAAGACCGTCCCGGGTCAACGTTTCCGTTTGCCTAAGAAGTGCTGCAGCAACGTCGAGAGGCCAGCCCCTTTCGTCAGATATTCGGCACGAAAGCTGCACACAAGGGTTTCTTCACCCATTTCCCCGTCCGTGTCAGCTTGCCGCGCCTAGGGGGCAGGGCAGGGCAGGGCAGAGGATACAGACGCCGTGCGCCACATCCCGCCGAATCACCCACCCACGCGGCGCATGGCACATGTAGGCGCGATGCCGACCTGGAAATTGAGGCCTCCTTTTTGGACTCTGGGCGTCCGAATCTTCACGAGCCCCGCTGGGATTAGCGGTGCCCAAGTAGACGCCCCGGAAGTGACGCAGCGAAGGGTCACCATAGGGACCATCAAAGCCACCAATAGAGACGCAATTGCCCTCTACAACTCGTGGTGCTGCCTGGGTTGGCGGCGGCTTTGGAAAGGGTGCGCGGGCGTGGGCCGCTACGTCCCTTCCTCTCCTCCGGGGCGTGCGGTGCCACCCCGCGCCCCATATAGGAACCATGCCGGAAAGAGGGGGGGCGGTTTCCCAGGGGCATCGGCCCGAGAGGCCCCCATGAGAAATTTGCAATGAAACCGACCGCATGCCCGTTAAACCCCCTAAGGTTGTCGTTTTCCGTGGGGCAGCCGCGTTCCACTACGCCACTACACCGTGTAAAGCTAGGATCGCGCGGGGGCCTTTGCAGTTGGGGGTGCGCCCCGTGCTTGGGGCCCAAAGCCGCCGCGAACGCCGCCCCCACCACGAGGCGGATCCTGGCGCAGAGCGTTGGATTCACGCAGCCGTCGAATCCGAGAAATGCCCAAACGCCACCCAAAGCCGACGGGGCAAGCGATCCCACCCACCTTTCGCGTCATTTACATGTTGCGCGGGGCTGCCGGGAAGGGCGGGGCCGAGCAGCACATAGTTTGCCTTGGGCGCTGGTCTCAATAAATTTTTGTGCCGCCCATTTTGACAGCCAGCCACGCTTTAGGACGCCCTCTATGGTGTCCTTGCCTCTTTCTTTTTTACGGCTATTAAATTATCCTCGAAGAAGGCTTGCTCCAGCTTTGGAATTTCGAGCAACCCCTCACCCAGCGCATTCGCAGCGGCAGCGAACAGCGGCATTCCAGGAGCACATCACTGTGGAAATTCCCATGTGTACTTGACTGGTTTCGAAAGCGTGTTCTGGAGTCTTAACTTGGCTGTTCTGGTTCACAAAAAAACAGATACCCAGTAAATAAGATGGGGGTTAACACCGTACTCTCTCGCGGCTGCGATGATGCCATCGCGATTCACGGAGCCAAAGGCCCTGACGAAGCCAACCAAGACGGCACTAGCATTCTTTCCTTCTGATAATACATCGTGGTTGTTTTCCTTTTCTTCATCGTGTCTTCAAAACTCTCGTCGATGGCTCCGCTCCATCAGCCACTATCGTAGAGCACGTTCGTTATTGCTTAATTTCTATGTGGAAGGAGGTCCCTTTGTTTTGTTATGTATTTTGTTATTTTTGG